TCTGTGGCGTTGACCTGGTGCTCCAGAAGGCTCAGCAGCCGCGTCTGAGTCATGTTAACCCTGCACTGAGTCACTGGCTCATGCGCTGCAGATGGTTGTAAAACCTGCAGCTTGGAGGATACTTGCGAGAGGTTTGCGCCTCGAAGCTGCACGCACCTTGGTTCGGTCGTGTTTTGATACAGGTCTCCTCCTGAGTTACATCTGGGGGAAAAACACTGCAGCCAACAAAAGCTGCCGATTTGACTATTCCCCTCTTGACAAAATTCACACCCCCTGTTTGAATGCACCCCACGCAATCTTCACCGCCTCCCTCCAGCATATTGCGAACGGAGGGAGAGCTGACGCGGTTGCCACAAAGTAGGCGTGGGAGGCATTGGGAACCCCGAATAGCATTACAGAACTGCTGACTACCATCATCATCATCATCATCATCATCATCATCCTATTATTCTCTGCTTGTGCCAAGGAAATGCCCAAGTTCTAACGTCGCATCATTTCCTCTACTTTTCTGTGTTGTGGATGCAGCTGCCCTGTTTAGCTGAATGGTCACTTCTTCACGCAGGAGGAAGCTCTTGCCAGCCTTGGGGGGAGGCCGCTGTTTACAGAAGTGCAGCAGGAAAAGAGAAGAACCTTGTTGAGGGTGGGGCAGAGGCAAGTCGGCGGGAAGTAAACCCTGTGGGATGGGGGGAACTGAATGGAGGAACCCCAAAGAGCAGTGCTCTCCACTGCAGTATTTTGCTGCAAGCCCCTCCTAGGCTCCTGCATCTTGGGAAAGAGCGGGTGTCTTCCAGCCCTGCTTGTGGACTTCCCAGTATTAAAGAGATGGTATAGCCTAGTGGTTAGCGAGTTGGACTGGGACTCGGGAGATCTGAGCTCACTTGGCCATGGAGCCTGCTGGATGACTTTGGTGCAGTCACTGGCGCTTAGCTTCATCTACCTGACACGAGTGTCGTGAGAGCCAGTGGTTGGGGTGGCTGGCCTGGGACTTGGGGGATCTGGGCTGGCTCGATCTGTCTGTCTGTCTGTCTGTCTGTCTGTCTGTCTGTCTGTCTATCTATCTATCTATCTATCTATCTATCTAGAGTTTTTATATGCCATCCCATCACTTAACGCCTCGGGACGGCTTGCATAAATAAACAAATATAATACAAAAAATACAAATTAAAAACCCGATTCTAGTCTCTAGTCAGTGCCACAGACTCCGCCTCGAAGCCCACTGGGCAACTTCAGGGCGGCTACAGCCTAGCCTCCGTCTCGGGGCTCTCATGAAGGCAGAATGGGACAAGGTTCGCCTCCCTGGAGGAAGAGGTCTGCTGTAAATGTGGCCAACGAGTTTCAACTGCCAATGTAGGACAGAAACTGCTGGATTGAGGAATTCCCGGTTTGCTCCAGGAGACTAGTCCTTGTAGAGTTATGCGTAGAATAAAGCTATTCGGGAGCATTGTGAGATGGCCACGGTGAAAAAACGGGATTTCATGCCTGTGGAAGGAATTGCGTTTCTTTCCAATGTAGCGTCCCGTTTGCCTGTCAGGCTCCTCGATATTCCAAAATGCAGAAACCAAAAGTTAGGAGAATTCCAGAAAAGAGTGGCATCGGTCCAGTAGGAACTTTCGTATCCTGGGCAGAGCGGCAAGAGGAACCCCAGGGGTCACGAATGTTTTTTTGCAAGAGACCCTGCCAACCCATTTCCAGGAAATCTGTCCCGCAGGCAGCATTAGCTCTGTATGGCTGGATTTCTCGCCCTTTCCTGTTAAACTGGCCCTCGTGTGTGATCTACCCACTGAGGCATTTCCTATTTGACCTTGCATGTCTGCTTTTAAGGTTTCATTGGCTAGATTTGTTTATCGCACACTTAAAAAAAAAAAAAAGCGAAAAATCTGAAGTGGCAAAGTTGCCTAAAGCATCCCTGTGTCTGGAAAGAGGCTTCCATACGGAGGCCTCACTCTTGGGATTAATTGGGTTGACGTTTGAGCTACTTTTACTTGGCTTCTGCTAATAAAAGGGGTTCCGTGCTTGGCACGCTTTGCTTATTTCCCTTAATTAATGGGCTGGTACTTAGATTAGGGAGGGGCAACCTTTTGGTGCCCAGGGGCTGCATCCTGAGGAGGGCCAGAGGCTACACGGTGGCGCTGGGGGCTGCCTGCGTTGCCCCTGCTCCTCTGCGAAGTGGGAGAGGCGCCAGGTGGGTTCGCCGAGATGCTGCCCAGCTTGCCGGTGATGGGAAAAGCATTAGTCGCCTGAGTGGCAGCCCGTCATCTTGCTCCGTGTGTGTGTGCGTGTGCGTGTGTGTGTGTGTCCGTCCATCTGTCACAGTGAGTGCAAATGCCCAACAACTCCAGCGGTTCTCTGTGTTTCTTCCCACGTTCTCTAGCGCCTGCATGGCTGGGAAGGCTGCAGCCGGTATCCGTTTGGCTTTGCATTCTGTTTCAGCGCGCGAGACACTCCCGAAATCATTTGAAACCACGGCTTGGCGGTGTGTGAATGAGCAGGGTAGAGAAGGACCCACCGGAGTGGAATCTCCATGTGTGACGGGGAAAGGGGATGCCGGTATCTGAAGAGGTGCGTTGCGAGCCGTCGAATCTGAAGGTGCCTGCTGCTCATTTAAGCAACGCCAACCCACAGCACGTTCTTCTTTCTGAGCCACCCGCCGCTCTCCGAGCGCTGCGGACCTTGCCAGTGGTGCCAGGGTTCCCCCGTCCAAATGCTGCAATTAACGCCTGCCGGCGCTTCTCCCCCACACCCACAGGCTGTGTGCTAACATGCACTGAACATGCAGCACACCCATGAGAGCAGGGGCCTTCCTTCGCTTGAGTGCCCGTTGTTCCGCTACGTACGCGATGCTTGTATGCCTTGGCCTCTTGTGTTTTTTATTTTTTCAAAGCCCCCGGCAAGATTTCCCAGCCGATTCGGCAGCCTGGCACGCCAGGGGCTTCACTCCTTGATGAGGATGTTCCCGTGTGTTGCCACGCTTCTGGAAATGCCTTTCCCTGTTAAAACATGGGGGACCTTAAAAAGATTGGATTTGCTAGCTAGCAGAAGGAAGCTGCATTTGAACAGCGAGGAAAAGAAGGGAGACAGTGTCTCCTAAAATATATAACCATCAGACAGTGCTCAAACCGAGCACCGGCTTCTCATCCTAAGATGTTGTTTATATATGTTTATATATTTGTAACAGAACAAAATAGATATACGTTGCAGCATTGTATCTTCAAGGTTTTAAATCTTCGTAAATTGCTTGGAAAGCTTTGGCTCTTGAGCAGTACAAAAATGTAATAAACGAATCATTGGATGATTGTGGCCCTTTGGATGAAGTTAGGCTAATGTCTCATCATCCCTGACCAGACATGCAGCCTGTGGCTGATGGGAGTTGGAGGGACAGCGGTTCCACTCAAGCCTGCTTTAAAGTGGAGGCGAGACAGCTCCACAGTGGCTAACACTCATGTCGTCTAAAAGGAACTGCAAAAGTCAGAGGCAGTTTATCTTACTTATTTATCAATTTATTTGTTTATTTAAAACTTATATGCCATCCCTTATGCGTGACATCTCGGGACGGCGCGCAATCAGTAAAATCAAATGCATTAAAAAAACAATAAATAATATATAACCAATAAAACATGACTGTTGCATTAAAATATATTTGAAATACCAAGCGCTGTGGGAGAACAGTACGGGAGGGCTGTTGCCATGAACGTCTGCTAAAGTGGCTTTCCTGGGACCCCCGGATGAGCTAGGGTTAACCCTCTTCCAGCCCTTCCTTTGTAGGAGGTAATGAATGTTATCAAACAGGAAATGTGTAATCTGGCTGTCCCTCCTTCCTGGATGTTGCAACAAGAGGTTTTTGAGAGAAAATGTGGGCTTCCAGCATCTAGCCCATCTGATTGGTTGCAAGGAGCAATTTTGAAAAATGCAGTTGAAATGGTAAAAGAGCAGAAGTGGGAAAAAAAAGAGATGCTTTGCTTCTTGTCTGCATCGCTCCCCTCCCTGGTGTGTATTTTGAGAGTGGAAATGTTTCTGCTTCCGTCTTTCATTTCTGAGAGCCTGCTTGCACACACTTGTTGTGCTTTTGTGTACTGGGAAATAGGAAACGCTTGCCGTTGCATATGCAAATGAGGTTCAGCTTTCAGGGTTATTTCCTTTGCGATGTGGGAGAGATTTCCCATGTTTGGTTCAATGGCTGACTCGGAGCTCTCCCTTCCTTGTTCGGGCTGTATGGTCCTTAAAGGTGGGCGTTAAACCATGCACAGGAATGCGCGGGGGATCCCGCCGGGACCCACGCTCCTGGCTCGTCACACCCCGGCCCACCCAGTCGTGTCCGCTGCTCCTCTGCTTCCCGAGCCAGGCCGCCTCTCAAGCAGAGCTCTTCGCCTCGCTTATTTCTTTTCCTCCTTTGCCTTCCCCAAGCAAAGGAGAGTGCTGTGAGCAGACCCGCCCGTGCACCCGGAGCTTGATCACCTCTAGGGACGCCTACGGGCCTCCTGGAAGGATTTGGGCCTTGCCTTCCCTCCGGCTTTGTACCCTGGGGAGAGAACCCTGCCCTCATGCGCACAGCGCTTCCGAGCAGCAGGGAGAGGACACCTCGCTCTGCAGGCTAACACTTGACCTGGGGAGGCAGCAGAGAGAGGGGTGAGCGGAGGCGGTTGTGAGCATCGCGGGAACAGCCGTGGCTGCACATCCGTGGGATTGCGAGGGGAGGGAGATGAAGGGGCTGCGCTCACGCAGGGGTGGGCGGCCTCGTGCCTTCCAGCTGTTTTGGGTGGACTAGCGCTCCCATCACCCCGAGCATTGGGCCATTCTGGGTAGCACCTATGGGAGCTGTAGTCCAAGGCATCTGAAGGCCACTGGGTTGCCGTTCCCGTGAGCTAAAGGTTTTGTGGGAACGGGGTGTGCATGGGGATCTTGAAGAGGTCTTGGGAGGGAGGCAGGCAGGGAGGTGTCTGGGGGACCATTCCAGGCCCGGTTCCAGTCAGACGCTGATCCTCCGCTTCCTCTCGTGGCTGCAGGAACACCGATCAACCGCATCCCCATCATGGCAAAGCAGATCCTGGACCTGTACATGCTTTACAAACTGGTGACAGAGAAGGGTGGGCTGGTGGAAATCATCAACAAGAAGATCTGGAGAGAGATCACGAAAGGCCTTAACCTCCCCACTTCCATCACCAGCGCTGCGTTCACACTGCGCACCCAGTAAGTCCCAGGCTTCCTCGCGTCTCGGGAGCCTCCCCGCAGGAAGCCGGCAGGAGGGGAGGCATCACAATGGCTCCGGCGTGGGAGAAACCACACGCCACTGCCTTGTGTCTCTGTCATACACGGCGCTGCACAATCCTGCCTGCCTTCAGGAGGATTCTGGGCAGAGTATAAGAGGCTTCCCAGACGGTCTCCCATCCAGGCACTGACCGGACTCAGAACTGCTTCGCTTCTGTGGGTGGCTGCATCCTGTGCCTTCACCCCATAGCCACAACCCTGCCTGAACTCTGCACTCTGTAACAGGCGCTGACACTGACTCCACTGAGGCCATTCCTCTGTCAAGAAGCCAGAGCCAAAGCTTTAGCAAGAACCGGACTTTAGCAAGACGATGAGCAAGTTTCTAGTCCTCATTGTTGATAGAGTGAGAAAGAAAGATCTGTGGAGTTTTTGCTAAAGTCTAGAAGCCAAAATCAAAATGGGCAGGCAGCTCCAACCCAGCATTTAACTGCAGAGAGTCTGGACACCAAAGCACAGGGCTGGTTCTTGACAGTGATTAGCAAAAGCCACAGGCTAGTCTGACGTTGAAACCGAGCTTGTCACAAGCAGGATTCTCCTGACTGAATGGCAGCTTATTTATTCTCTGTATTTGGAGCATATTTATGTCCCTCCTTGGCCAAGAAGGTTCCTGGACCAGCTCGCGTATGAATCCGTTAGGTGAGACAGTCCCTGCCGGCAGGCTTACGGATTCGACACACGAGGAAGGAAAACAGGAATCTTTTTCTCTGAAGCAGGGCTAGTGGCGTGCCCCCCGCCCCCCGCCCCTCTGTAGCTGGGCCTGCCGAAAGGGCTGCAGGCGGCGACCGTCGAGGGAGGAGGAACACGCACAAGGAGGTCTGGGCCCAGCCCTCCGGCCCGTCTGGCCCCTCCTGGCTCCTGCTGACGTCTACCTGTGCTCTCTCCCCTCCAGGTATATGAAGTACCTCTATGCCTATGAATGTGAGAAGAAGTCCTTAAGCTCTCCCGCCGAGCTGCAGGCCGCCATCGACGGCAACCGGCGGGAAGGCCGGCGGCCCAGTTACAGCTCCTCCTTGTTCAGCTACTCCCCGGCCGCCGCGGGGCCCCCCTCGCTCCTGTGCCCCGCCAAGATGCGCTTCCCCATCGCCAGCCTCGGCCCCGGCAGCGGAGCCGGCAACGCACACCTGCCCGCAGCAGGTGCCCTCAGGAAAGGTCAGTCCCGGGGCCGCACGTGGGGGGTGGGGCCCGCCAGGACCCCCAGGCAGGCACCGAGACGGCCGCCGGTGTGGCAGCTGGGCGGATTGGGCCATCCGGGTGGGTACTGGTGAAAGCGCCGCACAAGGAAGGCAGCTGAGCTTGCCCCAGGATCCTGAAACAAGCAGGCAGCGGAGCCCCTCACGGCCCCTCTGAATACAGCCGGCACTCGGGGGCGGCTCCCTCTCCTCTCAGGAACCCGGGAGGAATCTGCCTTCCACAGCCCAAAGCGTGCAGCGGTCTTCCTTGCTCCCTCATCTGCAGACCCGGCCTTCCCCCCCCGCCCTGCTGCCCTGCAGGTGTGTGGGATCGGGGCCCCTGAGCCCCAGCCGCTTCAGCCTCCCCTCTCCCCACAGGCCTCCTCACCGGGAGGGGTCAGTGCAGCTTTTGCGGTCAGCATAGGGACCGGACAGCTGCTGTCCTGAAGGAGGACGGTCCAGGCGGTCGGGAGGACGCGCCACCCCCTGGCAGCGTCCGTGAAGCGCCGCTCGGCTTGCGCAGTCGCCCGCTGAGGCTCCGCGTTCCCGGGGGCCCCTTCTCCGGGCCCTGGGCTGACCCTGGCTCGCTTTCGCAGGCGACGGCATCCCGCTGCCCGTGTCCACGCCAAATCGCCTCGCCATGCCCGTGACTCTGGCGAATCAGCAGGCCACGGCCGCGGCCGCGGCCGCGGCGGCGAGGGCGGCCACGCTGGAGCAGCTCAGGGAGAGGCTGGAGTCGGGCGAGCCGGCCGAGAAGGTGGCGCGGGTGACGGAGGAGGAGCAGCGCCTGGTGCAGCAGGCCTTCCAGCGCAGCCTCTTCAGCGTGGCGCGGCAGCTGCCCATGAAGATCAAGATCAACGGGCGAGGTGCTCCGCGGCCCCGGCCGGCTGGGAACAGGGGGGGGGGGAGCGCGCCCTGGGGGCTCCGCCTGGCCCCCAGCTGCCCAAACGCGGGAGGGCGATGCCGCCCCTCGGCTTTAACCAGAGGGGCCCGATTGCAGCCCCGGGGCCACGTCTGCCCCATGGAAGCTTTTCACCCGGGCGCGGAGACCGCCTCGGGATGCCGCCCTCTCGCGACCTCCGCTGGGGCTTCCTTTTGCAGGAGGGGGGCGAGGGGCTCCCCCGGCACCACTGCCCCGGCCAACCGCTGTGCCTCCACCGCCGCCAGACCCTTCTCCCTCTGAGAGCGAGCTCCTCCCGCCCTCTCCCCAGCTGGGCGCCAGCAGCAGAATCCCCACGGCAAGGCGAGGCTCCCTTGGGCCCCTTTGGTGGCTGGTCCTGCGGCCGCCCTGGCCAGGAGCCGCCCAGCCAGAAGGGGGGGGGCGGGCTTGGTCACTGAGCCTCACTCCCTGCCCTGGCATCAGCACACGCTGCCCACCTGGGGGGCCCAGCAGCTGCCCCCTTCCCCATCCCTGCTCTCTGGCCATCATTTCCTGCCACAGGTCTCCTGGAGCCCTTAAGGCAGAGGAAGGAGCCCGAGCGAGGTCCTGGCAGCAGGCCAGCTATCCTGTGTGTACAGGGGGGGGGGGACCCCCCCCCTTTCCCCTTTTCCCCCCCCCCCCCCCCAAGCAGAGGATAAATCAGACGCAGCAGCCACCGCAGCAGCCTTGAATTGGGCCCCATCTGGCTTCGGAAGCATTAATATGTCCGTGGAGATCAATGGCACAATCTACGCGGGTGAGCGAGGGCACGGCTTCTGGGGACGGGGACGGGGTGGGGGGTGGGAGGGGCGCCCCCAAGCACCTTCATCCGGACGTCACTCTCCGCCCTGCGCGCCTCCACGCCGGGACGGGCTGCTCAGCATGAGGGCGCCCCCCGCCGCTCGGCCTCCTAACCCCCCGCCCCGCTTCTGCCCCCAGGAGTGCTCTTCGCCCAGAAGCCGGTCGTCCACCTCATCGCCGGCTCCAGCACGCAGGGCACCGGCGCCTGCAGCAGCGGCAGCGGCAGCAGCAGCAGCTCCTCCTCCCGCTGCTCCCCCAGCCCGGCCTCCTCCCGGGGCACCCCCAGCGTCGAGCCCTCCACCAGCTGGTCTCTCTGAGGTGGCAGGTGGGCAGGGCAGGGCAGGGCAGGGGCGCTGCCTGGCCTCCGGCGGCCTCTCACGGGCTGGACGGAGCCCCACCGGCCGCCTCGCCTCGCCTCGCGGGAGCCGTCGGCCAGCAGCAGAGGAGCGGGGAGCCCGTGCCGGCAAGGGTCCCGTCAGGGGGGGCTCGCTGTCTGCCCGTGCCGCCGTTCTTCAGGTCTCGCTGTCTGCCCGTGTCGCCGTTCTTCAGGTCTCGCTGTGTCCTCTCTGAAACGCAGGGCGGGGGGGAGGGGAGGGCAGGGGGGGGACACAGGGCGTGTTTCAATCAGGGATCCTCTGGACGGGCCGTGCATTTTGTAGATGACTGAGCTTTGCCACGGTAGCAAGGCAGGAAGCCGTTTCCTCAGCCAGAAGCCCAAAGAACTCTTCCCTCGCACCCCCCACTGCAGTGAATTGACAATCCTACCCCCAGAGGCAGGTGGGGGGGGGGGAAGCAGCGCGCTCGCGCTCTCCCGGACTTTTCCCCCTGCAGCATCCTCACGCCCCTCGAATCTGCCCTTCCGGCTGGCTCTCCACGCACACGCTCCCGTCCGAGCCCTCCGTGCACAGCTGGCGCTGACGGGCCACATCCCGTCACCCCGGCGTCCCAGCCAGCCTGCTGGCTTCGGCGTGGAGGACGCTCCTCGCCCGCTCTCTCCCTCGGCTCGGGTCCCAGTCTTCCTCTGAAGGGGGGGCTCGGCAGGATTCCCAGTGCTACTCCGTCCGCAGCATGGAGTGGCGCCCGTGGGCGAGCGGGCAGGCCTCCCACGGCCAGGCAGCGGGTACGGCCGGGGCGGCAGAGGGCTCCCCGCGGCGTCGCCACGCATCCGCAGTCGCGGGGGGCGGGGGGGTCCGTGCCTGTGATGCGGAGCTTTTCCATGCCCTCCCTCCCTCCGGACTTTTCCTTGCTGATATGCCTTTGCTCCGTTCTTTCCCTCCTGGGAATAAACGGAGGCTCAGGTGTTTCCGAAAAGGAAAAAAAAGTCCTTGGCAGTCAAACGGTCAGTCGGTGTTGCTCAAAATTCCCCCAGGGAGGCGGTCTTGGTTCTCTCTCTTCCTCTCCCGGCTAGCTCAGCATGCCTCGTTGCCCCCCTAGAATTTAATGTTGACTTGGAGCATCTTCTTGCTGAGATGGCGTGGCGGGTCCCTACCCCCCCCCCCCGCAGTGTCCGTTCCCGTGCTGAGCATTTGTCCAGAATCCTCGGTGGTCCCAGCCCGTTCATGTAGCACTTGGAAAGGGAACCAGCTGCTCCCTCCGCCTTTGGGGGGCCCCGTGGACGACAGCCTCATAGCCCCCGCAATCCAAGACTCCCTCATACTTCCCCCACGGCCTCCTTTTAAATCCCGAAGGAGGGAACGGGTTGCTCTTTCGGTGGGCCTCTTCCCCCGAGTCAGGTGGATCCTTCTGCTTTTTTCTTTTACCGTGCATCAGCCTTTCCCAACTGGGTATCCCTGTGCTGGCTGGGGATGGTGGGCATTGTGATCCAACCCAGCGGGACCAGTTAGGGAAGGCTGCTCTGCCTGCACCTCCCTCCCTCAGCCTGTTCCTGTGAATCCCACCCCCCCCCGGCCGCGAACTGCCCCACCCTTGCCCGCAGGGATCGGCCTTCCCTCTTACCCTGGCGAATCTCAGTCATCCTCCAGTTCTGTACCGGCTTCTCCTGAGCAGATGAAATACCTCAGAAATATGTACTTATTGCTGTGCGTGTTGGCTTTATTATTTTTCCGCTCTTCTGGAAGGATTTGCATTATGTTAAATCTTCTTTTTATATGTCTTGTCAACTGCTTTTTATTTTTAATTTTATATATTGTAGCACCAAAGACACCAAAAAGAGAGAGAGAGAGAGAGAGAGAAAGAGAGAGAGAGAGAGAGAACGAAACAAGGCATCTTCCCGAGTGAAGGAGCAGAAGGCTTTGTTGGGTTCAGCCTAGAACGGAAGCACTCGGCTCAGGGTGTCTCAGGCACGGCATGACGGGAGGTGGTGGTTGGCGGCTGCATCTCTGCAGGCGGGCTTGTCGCTCGCTTGCTTGCACCAGGGGGCTCAGTGCAGCAGCTCGAGCCTGGGGGCCGCACCTGACCCCCCGGGCTCCCCAGACGCCCTTGCCATTTTCCTCCAAGCATCAGTGGCTTGCTGGCTTCCCAGCTTGTGCGCAGTGTTTTCCCCCACGATCAAAGGCTGGCTGGTTGGTCCTACCCGCTTTCTGCCTTTGGCCTCACCCCCCACTGGAAGTGGCCCCTGAGAGTTTCTGCAGCCTGGGATTCAGCCCTTGGTTGGAGTCAGGTTCAGCTCCCCTAGAGGACGGGCGTAGGATTTTGCCAAATAATCTGCAGCGAGTGCATCCCAGTCCCGCCGCTCTGCTCAACCTCGGCAGCATTTCCGTCTGCTCACGACCCTTGAACTGAAATCTGGCCACTCTTCTACGTAATCCTCCGATTGTTGACAGTGCTCTGCTTCTCGCGGGATTCAAGCACAAGTGTACACAGAAGGTGTACACTTTGTGTCCAGCACCAGACCGTTTCAGCATGTTGCTGAAAGGCAGCCGAGGCCTCTCTCGGTGACAGAAGTGGCGGCCTTTTCTAGGCTGCTTCATGGGAAGGCGGATTCCAGAAGGAAGGCTGGGCTTCCGACCTGGAAACCATTCTTGGCACTTAAGTAACTGTAAGGTGACCAAGCTGTTCCACTGCTCATTATCAGCCAGAAGGAGTCAGTCAGACCTCAGACCTGTATTCTCTTTCCTCGGCAGTAGTAGTGCTTCTGGACAAAATCCTGCAGAGGCAAAACCTGGAAAAACTGCTCCTGGAGAATTGTTCTTGCAAGCAAATACAAATGTATTAATGCCGAACTAATACAAGGTTTTTATAAGTTCCTTTGTGGGCAGATGTTTGTGCTCCACAAACAGTCCTTCTTTTTCCAGTTTTGGGGCAGCATTTTCCAGATATGTCCTCTCAGTAACATGTCCAAAGGCACTCCCAGAGAGAAATGTGCTGTTTCAGAACAGCCGCATGGAACGGATCGATTGGTTTACGACCTACCAAAGATTTTTCTTGCCTCTCCGATACTTGAAAGTGGCTGGTCTGATGTCGTCTCAGGCTCTTTTGCAGAAATGTTGTGAGCAATTTTCATTGGCATCCCACAGAGTCGATTTCAATATCTTCCCCATTACCTATTAAAACAACTGTTTTGACGTTGGTAGTTCTCCAGCAGAAGCCATACTGAGGAAAGTAACTGTATGCTTGTCTAGCTACAAATCAGATCAGTTAGTGACAAAACCCACAGTTCCCATTGAAAGTCCTGGGCCTGATTGTAAATGTCCATCCCAGACCAGAACAACAGGATGCGATGAATTTACCCTTCAGCCAAAGTTTAATCGAGGCAGGGTAAAAAGTCTACTATGTGAGAAAGAGAGAGAGAGAGGCAACACTTTCAAATTACGCCTTCAGCCAGCAACTGCCTCAAAAAGCAACGTGATACTAGATATTTCAGAACAAACTAAAATTGCAGCTAGCCACCTTTGTCCATCAGAAGGAGAGGGAAGTAAAAACAGCTTGTAAGCCTTTGGGCTCACCTTTTCTTCAACCCGCCTGCAGGAAGGTTCTGGAAAACTTAAAAGACTGCTCATCGTGGTGATACTTGAGTTGGCCCAGTGAAGGCATCAGGTTACTTTTCAATATTTCCTGTACATTTCATTATTTTGCCGTCTCATGCAGATTTCAAAACCAAAACCACCACTGCCAGTCTTCCTCTTCCGCAAATCTTGGATGAAGAAATTCTGCCCTCATTTCTACCTTTATGTTGCCCAATCACAGCATCACCATAACCACACGTCTCCTCAGCACTAGGTCTTCCTGGCTGATCGTGTGTCAGAATCTACTTCCACTCCCTGGACTGCTGACCACGGAATAAAGCGATCCTAGAGAAAATAAATTGGATATCCTTGTCCTAGGCCAAATCCGAGCCAGATGGCCTGCAGACATATCTGCTTCTCACCCAGAACCCTTCCAAATTTTGATAGAACAGGTGGCAAGAATTCGACTCACGTTTTCACTGGCCAGGGAAATTCCTCACAAGCGAGGTCCAAAACCCCACAGTTCTAGCTCGGTGTCAGCCCATGGGGTGGGAATGGACAGGTTGTATGATAAAAGACAACCCAGACTCCCGCAGGGGCTTGCCCAGGGCTAGCCTCTTCTCGCTGATTCCACTTAACCCCACAGCTGCCCCACTCCCTTAGCAGGGTTTAACGGAGGCCAGATGGAGAATCACAGCTCCAGGCTGGATAGGGCTCACATCTGGAGCTTGCCTCCAGGGTGAAGCGTGGCCCTTTTCAAGGCGTGTGCTCCTTGTGTTTGGCCTGGGTGCACCTACTCCTGATCGTTTCCTTCACAGGGCATTTCTCCTGCCAGGAACCTGCCACTGAATGGTTTATCCATGAGAAGAATATTAAAAGTATGGGCACAAGTAACAGAGATTGTGACGGATGCAGGTGGCATAAAATGTGCCCATCTGGCATCGCCCCCGGTTGCCTTTTCGCTCGCTTTTAGCACAAGCCTCTTGGGAGTAGGTTCCTCTGAATCACGCAAGATGTTTCGGTGCCTGAGACTGTTTGTTTGTGCAGTTTTATTCTCAACGCAGCCTAAGAGTGCTTCAGTTTGAATGGCATTTAGGAGAGAGGCAGTGGAGCTGTGTCCCAGCTGGGGGAACATCGCTCCTAGCTGTACTTCCGTGGAGTTATGAGGCTGCTTTTAATTGCTTTTTAAGAGTAGGCTGCTAGCCCCAAATTTTGCAGGGTGGGAATAACCAAAGGAAATTGCAGTGTGGCTTCTGCACTTAACACAATCCCAAGCTTCCCATGAGTTTTCATTGAATCCCAGGCTTCTTCCCTTCATCTCAATCCTTACCCAAGTGGAGCACAATAGCAAAATCCCGTGATCGTTTAAACGAGAGAATGTTCTTCAAAGCTGCTCGGTTTTGCCTACTTAGGTTGTTTTCCTTGTTTTAGAATTGGGGTGGCAGGAGAGTTTTATTTTTCCTGAAAGCTTTTTTCCTTACAAGCTCTGAGAACAATGAATGCTTGGATTTCCTGCTTTAAGTAGGTTAGAGTAGACATAAAAAGGACAGGCTTTTTTTTTTAATTTTATTTTTTGAAAAATTGGGTCTGCTGAAATCGTGTAAGATGGGGTGCGTGCGTTTAAAATAAGAGGGGTTATGGCAAAGCAAGACTTGAGTCCAACACGGGTGTGAAACTCCGCGTGACTTTCCAGTGCATTAGTCCCCCCCAAGCTCGGTTCGCGATCAGGACTTGGTCTTGGAGAAAAGCCACTTGAGGGATGAGCCATGTGGGGTACAGAGTCTACAGCTAAGTGCTCTTCCTCCTCTAAGAGATGCTGTCCGCCATGGTCTTCCTCACCTGCGATTTCAAGCAGACCTGAGTTTTTAAAAAGACACGTCTGTAAACACGTCTAATTTGGGCCTCTCACGCTTGCTAACGTTGCATGGTCTTGCACAGAATGCTGCCTGAACCACTCCGACAGCCCCGTCCTTCCTGCGGGTTCCTGTCCGTAACCTCCTTACACAGCTAAACTGGAACTAGGCAGTAAACTTGGGGTTGTTCTTATCCAGTTCAGGGACAAGGGTAGATTTGTGGATTTGTAACAATATATATAAATATAAATATATATATACCTCATTAAAATAAGCTGCAGCATCCCATTTGGACCCTTTGCCGTTTCCTGGGTCAGCCATTTTAGACTGTGAAAATCTGTATGCCTTTTCTCTACATTGTTTTCGATGCTGTTAAGCCCGACTTGAGTTATGTAGCTTTTTTTCTGCTGTGCTGCCCGGTTTGGGGTGTGGGTCAAGAAAGCAGCAGCAGATAATTATTGGGGAGAGGGGCTCCCCCCCCCCCCGTTTTACCCGACTCCAAATATTAAAAGATTGTATGGCACTCAGGGCTTTTGATATGATGGGAAGGGCTGTTTCTCCTGCAATCATTTTCATTTTGTGCTCTGCCCGGGGGCTCCTTATTAAGAGGCCAGGCTTGTGGAAGAGGGTTCTGTGCACAGCTTGCCGAAAGTGAGCGCCGGGGCTTCTGGAGGCCAGCAGGAGCTGGTCGGCCCAACCCAGAACCGCACAAAAGATGACGAACGTGTGCAAAGCCGCCTTGTGCCAGACCAGGCGTGGGATCAGCAAGCCGGGCTCAGAGCCCGAGTGGTTCAGCCCCGGCTGAGGCCTCTCCTGGCATTGCAGCCACGGCCCTTTTGAGCCGCTTGTCCAGGGACTGGACTAGCACGCAACCCAGGCCGGGCCAAGCTCCAGAAACCGCGTTCCTTTATTTCCCGTCGGTCCGGCGCACGGGCCCCATCGTTCTCTTGTAGCACCCGAAGACTTAAGGACAGAGACTCCGTCGGCCCTCGCGGTGGGAAGAGGGAGCCGTTCTCGCAGATGTCGATGCTCAGGGTCCTCCCAGGTGAATGGGATCGGTGTACACACACGCGTAGCCCTTTCTGGCTGCTGCCCCTTCCTTCCAGAGAGATCCAGAGGTGGGAAGACGGTGCGGCCCCAACCCTCCCCCCCGGCAGCAGCCTTGCAATTAGTTTTTTTTTTTTCTTAACTATTTAAAGAAAAAAAAATAAAATGTGATAGCCTAGATGGTGGATAAATAAATACCTCAGACGTTTCCTTCCAGCAAGTGTCTGTATATGTTGTTGGTGGATTTTTTTTCTATCTTACATGTTATCTGAATGTTTATATTCCAATAAACTTCTCTACCTCTTCATATGACTGCTGTGTACATATTTGTCTTGGTCCACTCAGCTGAAAGGCAGCCGTCTGGTTCCACGTTTCTAGCTCCACACCTGGAAAATGTATTCCATGTTGCCCGGGAAAAGGGAATGGGACAGAGTACTGGGGAGCACTTGGGTGGGATCCTGTGATGGAAAGGGGTTTACCGGCAATGCTAGGTGTAAACACAGTTTTTAAGATCCGCTCTGGACACTGAGTTGCGTTATTTCAGGCTGCTTGTCCAGCCTGTTCCTGGGCAGAGAGAGTCCTCCTGCTACTCACTCGAAGGAAATACTCGAATGCGGGGCCTTCTCCCAGTTGGCACCACAACTGCAGAGCTGAGCATCCCAGGAATGCACCGAGCCAAAACAGCTGCAGAGAGAAAGGTTCCGCATAGGGCCTAGGCAAGGAGCATGAACATGGGGGGCATGATGCGCCATTTGGATTGGGGTGGGTTACCTTGTGCCAAATAGGCCTTAATGTGCACATGCCCCTCGTGCGTGTTGTGGTCGTGCCGCCCTGGAGCGTGATCGGTTGTGGAACTGGCATTCGGCAAATGTGACGGCAGCTGCAGTTGTTGAAACGCTTGGCTTTTCTTCCAGCCTCGAGCTTCAGACTCCAAGGGAAACGACCACAGCCAGAACCCTCAAAAATGGTTTGCATATGCAATCTATCGTGTACTTAAATCTTGTTCAAATTGGTAGTACCCATCAATAAATACCCGTGCAAATAATCCCATCCAATATGTCACTTCTGAAGGGCCATCCAAAATCTTGCTGGAGAGCCAAATATTGCACAGAAAGCGCTTTCTCTGTGCAGTATGGATTTTGTCTTGCTTTTTCGGTTTTTAAAAGATGCTGCATGTTTTACTAATGCTAAAGCTACACTCGTAAGCCAAATGCTGACAACATCCTGGTGAGGGTTTGCGACAAAGGAAGCAAACTGGATGCCCAAGAGGGGCAGAAGCCAGTTCCTAAATCTCTTTGTGCATTCATAATTGCGGGGTGGGGGGGGGGGGGAATGCTCATTTGGCTTGTAGTTCTTGAAGCTTGACGCTAGATGGCCCTCCCATCCTTCCTACTTATCTATATTTATACACTGTCCTATGCTCAAAAGCATCTCAGGACGGCTTACGAAAGTCAAAACAAACCAACAATTAACTATGCTTAAAAATATACATAAAACCGACAATCACACATCACAAATGAAAACAAAATAGAATCAAAATCAAAAATAGGAAACTCAAAAGGTGGCTGTAAATAGTTAAAACCAGATTCAACTTCCTAGCACTTGACATGGCGGGCAAAGGAGTTTTCCTTTTTCTGTCCTGCCGGCTTCGTGGGATGACACCCCGTGGATTCCAGCAGAACTGGATCCATGCACACGGCCGTCTAGACGGGGCCCCGTAAGACAATGGCATCCCGGACTTCAAGCACGGGTGCTGAACTTGGGTCAGCCCAGGGGCCATGCTCATTCTGGAGAAGCCCTCGAGGGCCTCTTTCCAGTGCAGGACGGGACAGAAGGGGAAAATAAGGGGAGGCCAGCATGCCTGCCGCTTTTTGCTAAAGCCTTTCCTGCCAGCTTCGGAAGAAGCTTTGGGAGAAGCATTCCAACCTCTAGTTTTGGGGAAACGGCCTCATGAAGGAATGGTGTGGGACCACCCGGGGAGTGCTGGATTTGACCCCTAACCCAAGCTCCTGCCCCCTTGGCTTGTACCTCTGCCCCAAAAAGCGACGGCGGGCTCCACTGAAGAGGCTACCGCATCCCATCCTGCCACGGTGTCTCTCACAACAAGAGTGCCCTCCAGACTTGGTATCTCCCCTCCTTCTCCGCAGCCAAGTCCTTGGGAACAGTTTCGCCCTCCAGGTGCTGTTTTGGCATCCCTCCTCCTCCTCCACCTGCTCTCTGGGGTGGGAACCTGTCCTTTCCCCAGGATAAGAGGGGAGTAAACACTTTCCATCCGTTTGCTCAGCTCTCCTGGCTTGGAGCGCTTTCCTGGCCTCTTGTTCCCACACTGGCCAGGGCCGCCAATCACCCACCTGCCCTGCGCCTTCGGCTGAACTTTCACACCTGCAATATCTCCGAAAGGCGGGGAAAGGCCAGGATGTTTTGCAGGGAGACTCACCTTAGTTCATAGCCGTCTTCTCCGTGTCCGCTCTGTCAGGTCGTTGGAGGACTTCTCTACCCATTCTGCTGATCTCTGGAGAAGGATGGGGGAAACACGTGAGTTGACGAAAGAAAAATGGGAAATACACAAGCGTCCTGGTTTGGGGACATGGAATGGGACACCTACCTTCCTTGGGGCTGGAATCTGTCAGGGAAAAAACCTTCCCTGAAGCTATAAAAGCCACACACAGGCTGTGAAGGAGGATGTTGTCCTACCTTACCTTTGCAAAAGGAGCAGGAGATGCTCTGAGCAGAGCAGCCGCTGCCTCTCGGGCATCTTGGCAGGTGGAGAGTGGGGGGCCGGAGGCGCTTGAGCCTTTCCAAGGGCCAGGACAGGCGCTCTCCGAAGCAGCGTCCGCATCGGGAGAGCGAGCGAGCGAGCGAGCGAGCGAGCGAACACGCCGCCACCGCTAGTGCTGGAGACCCCAGGTGTGGAGCCACGTTTGAAGTAAGCCAATAGAGCACCGACCCTGTGCCATGTGCTTCGGCGGACACTCTGCCTCTCCTCCAAGGCCTCTCCTCGCCATTTTGCCTGCACAACAGCCCTGCAAGGTAGGCGAGGCTGAGAGCTGGCGGCTGGCTCAAGGCCAGCCCAGGAGACCTGAGAGGGAGGCGTGTGGGCCTGGCGGGCCCTCCGGGGAGCCAGCCCGGCGGGCCTCCGAACTGGGCCGCTGCTTCGGGGTGGCCTTGGTGATGGCCGTGGAGAGCTCTTGCTCTGGCGGGGGGGTGTGTGTGGAAGCTTGTGAACTGCACAGAGAGCTTTAGCTATTGGGCTTATAAAAATAAAATGAACCCACAAGAATAAATGCTTAAACATGCTAATCACAGATGCTCTAACGTCTCTCGGTGTGTGTCTTAAAGAGTCTTTTCTCCGAAGGACACCTCTGTGTAAAAGGGGTGTTATGGACAGAAGCGTCCTGTCTCTTTACTGCAGCCTGTGCCTGCAGACTTCAAGGTGGGGGGACAGGTAACCTGGCATAGATTTGGGGGCACAGGCACTGCATCCCCCACTAATTATTCTTTTGCGTTTGAGAAGACATCCTGTGCTTGCGATCATGTGCACAAATTTATCATCACAGAGGTAAATGCAGTTAAGGAACTTGTTTGCCCTATCAATTGTTTTCCTTCCACATTTCAAAGGGAGAAGCTTATCAGTGGCTTTCCTCGAGTCCCTAAACAGCTCTATGGTAAACATCCCAAGTGTTCCCTGTTCGCTTTCCCTCCTGTTCCAGGTGATGAAAAATGTGTGCCCTTGGATTGGGTCGGTCGCTCACATGCCCTCTGTTTATGAAAAGGGCACAGATGCCCATTTTCCCACAAATTTCCCCTCAAACAAACCCGTTCACCCAGAACGCCGGCCTGAGCGGCAGGTGCTGCCCTGAGCAGAACTATTTATTTAGCTTCGGGGGTGAGAAGGAAGGTGGGAAGATAACCCCCAACAGATGCTTCCTGAAGCCTGGAAAGCTGCGCTCCCCCCGGAATATGGCAACCCCAGCGGTGGCTGAGTGGTAGGAAGTCCCGGCTCCCATCCCTGGTAGCCTGGCAGGTAGGGCTAGGAAAGCACCTGTTTTTCTAACCCTACCTGGCAATGCACCTGCGATCGGGAGAGGCCCTGCTGCCAGTCGGTGTTGGCCTGTGGAAGCATAAAGCAGCTTCTCACGTGGCTCCAGGCGGGTCGCCAGCCCGGGAACCGTCTCTCCAAGGGCCGTGTCTTTGTTCTCTTCTGCCCAGCGCACCTGCCAGCGTTCCTGGGAGCCGGCCTCTCCCTCGTCTGCTTCTGCCTCCTCCTGCGCTGCGCGATGCACTGCCATCGGAGCAAGAAGCACTGCCTGCGTGAAAGGCACCTGTGGGCTCCGGTCCAGGCCGTGGTGGATCCAGGGCTGGGTGTTCCTTCCCGCATGTCCGTGGTGGCCATCCAGCAGCGATTCCCGGAGCGCCGAGCGGATGGGCAGGATCCCCGCCCTGCAGCTGTGCCCACCTGCCCCGGCCCACCCGAGGACGTCCTCCGGGGCCACGCCGTCCTGCCCAGCACGCCCCTCTCCCAGACTCCGAGCCCAGTGGTCCAGCCCCCGCCGCGAGGCACCGTCTCGGGTGCCCGCATGCCGGGCGACGCCAGCAGCCTCCTCCCCAGTTCCGGGGGGGGGGGAACCAGCTCCCCCCGGCCCCACACGCTTCCAGGAGGCCCTTCCGGCCCGCTGCTGAAGCCACAGCCGTGCCTGCGCTTCACGCTGCTCTACGTGCCCCCCGCGGCCACGCTGACCGTGACGGTGGTGGGGGTCTCCCACCTGCCCAAGGGCCCCCGGGCGAGCCGGGACTCCTACGTCAAGGTCCGCCTCCTGCCAAAGCCCGCCGCGCCCCGGCGGACCGCCCTGTGCCGCAAAAGCCTGAGCCCCGAGTTCCGGGAGCAGTTCCACTTCGGCCTCCGCAGCCCCGAGGAGCTGGCCAGCCTCACGCTGCGCTTCGCCGTGTATGCCAAGCGATCCCACAGCCTGAAGGACTCGTTTCTGGGGGAGGCGCTGTTCCCGTGCTCACAGGTGGCCTGGAGCCGCGGGGTGTCCGCTGCCTTCGCGCGGGAGCTGTCGGCCACCAAAACCAAGCTCGGGAAGGTAACGGTGGTGCCGTGCACCGTGAGGGTGCCGGGCTAGGGCTTCGGGGACCCGGGGTCTGGACCCCAGTGGGCCGTGCGCGTCCTGGGCAGCTCTGTGCACAGCTGCTGACTTGGGCCTCTGGATGGGTGGGACTGCAACCCGCCTCCAGCATGAGGGGGACTGCGGTCCTGCATCTACCGGGCAGAAAACTGGGCAAGGCTGGCGTCTGTGCCGTCGTTCCGTCTGTCTGTCTACGCGGAGTTGCCTCAACGATCGTTGCCTTCCGCTGTTTCAGTGTCGGAGCCCCCGGGACACGGCCTGTGCCTTGGCAGCCCCCCAGCCCACGTCGGCGGGGCAGCTTTTTCTCCTGCTCCAGTACCAGGCCCTGGCCAGCCGCATCAAAGTTCTGGTCTGCAAAGCAGAGAACCTGGGACGGCTCACCCGCCTCCCGGGGACACCAGGTGAGAGGCTGCAGGCGTACCTGTCCCCTCCAGGTGGAGCTCCGTGTGCTCATGGGGGGGTCTGCTGTCCCACTGGGGCTGCCGGGAGCCCCGAGTTCTGGGGAGTTTGGTTTCTCACCCCTAACCCTGACCCCCCCACATTCAAAATGCCAATGCTCCCCTCTTCATGCAGGGGGCACCCCCAGTTCTGAGCACTCTGCAGACAGCTCCCGACAGCATTCGTGCACCATGATCTGGGAGAGACCTGCTGAAAGAGGGGGCCATGGAGGAGGTCATCCCCCCCCCAAAAAAAATCCCTGGAGCCAACACTGACCTCCTTTCACTTCCTTGCGTTTCTAGACCACAGCGTTCTGGTCCGCCTGTACCACGAGGGCGAGGTTCTCGCCACGAAGGAGACCAAGGCCGTGGTGGGCTACAGCCCCGTGTGGAACGCCCCCTTCCTCTTCAGCATCCCCGCTGGAGACATCTGGGAGCAGCGGCTGTCGCTGGAGTTCACGGTCGTGCAGGTGAGGAGGGACCACGGGGCCTGAGCTTTGCCTGCTCGGGGAGCGCGTGCGGCGTGTCTCCATCGGCCTGCCTGACCCTCCCGTGAAGCATCTGCCACAAGACACCATCCAAGAGAGCAGGTCATCTGTGTACTTGATCTCACCTCTCTGGCAAGCCCCCAAGGCACTGCCCCCCCCCCATGGTCCTAGCAGACCCCTTCTCCATGTTATCCTCACAACAACCTGAAGACAACAGCTGAGTGGAGACCAAAACCGGAGTCTCCGGAGTCCTGGCCCAACACTCTTGCCCCTGGACTGAGCTGGCCGGCCCATGAGCTGATCTGCAAATTGGGTGAGACTTAAGGGTGCGGTACATAATTAATGCATTACATAAATATTATGATTCTTATTATCATATTTTAAACCCACCTGTTCCCAGTTTTGGGGCTCAAAGCATTTCACAACGTTAAAAATGTATACCATTAAACCACTGATAGAAATATATAAACATTAACGATATAATGAAATTAGTGTTTAAATTATAAACATACCCAAATGAAAACATAGAAACAGAGCGGAGTCAGAAGGGTCCTCCGGGGCCATCTAGTCTGACCCCCGGCTCCAGCCAGCTCTGCTCATGACATGCCCGCCATGTGCACATCCAGCCTGTCCTAAACATTACTGTAAATTTATACACATTTATATACAACATACTATATTGAAAAGAGATCTCCAAGTCAGCCTTCCCCCACCTGGAGCCTCCCCATCTATGCTGGCTGGGGGATAATGGGAGTTGTAGTCCAACATATCTGGAGGGCAGCTGGTTGGGGAGAGGTCTCTAATTGCTTTAGGCTGCGAATCAGAAATTAAAACCCAGCCAGTACCAAAGTTCACCAGTCCAGATGTCTAAAATATTAAAAACACAATCCGTACTAAGCAACTAAAATGGGCAGCAAAGTCAATCCGTTAATTCACCAAGTCCCTGTGGTTGTGAGTGTGTTATGAGTCGTACGCAGTGTGACAGCTAGCTAAGGTCAGGGGTCCCCTTTAGATAGCAAAGGAGGTCTGGTAACTCTGATAAGAAAGTGTTTCTGCACATGTGTAGAATCCCCTATTTTAAGTCTTCTGAAACTATCCCAACCCCAGGAAAAAACGGTGTTTGCTCCTGTCCTTCAAGAAGAGGGTGCCTTCCCCCGGCAGCCCAACAAGGAGAGGACCGTCCTCTGTACAGGACGACCCCTGGCCACCAGCCCCCGATGCTCCTGCGGCTTGTGGCTGGTGCGTCCGCTAACCCTCCCGTTTTCCTCCTTCCGCAATCCTCCCGCGTGGCCCAGGCTCGCCTCTGCGCCTGGACCTGCACCGTGGGCCGAGTCCTGATCGGTGCTGATGCCCCAGGGATGGGGCAGGTCCACTGGAAGGAGATGTGCAGCCGGGGAAACGTGGAATCCGCCCGCTGGCACGCGATCCGGCCGGACAGGCCCCAGCTGAGCCCGTGAGACACACGCCTGGCGTTTCCACAAGCTGCGGGGTTTTTCGCTCGCCACGGATGCGTCCTTTGGCCGGCGCCTGGAAGCAAGAAAAGCTGGAGCCAACGAAACGAATGTGTGTCTGTACGATGTGCGGAACTGCAGGGAGCTCAGCCCGGGATGGCAGGGACCAGGCAGCGCGATGGAGAATCCCAGCCGGCGGCGAGCGGGATCAGGTGAGGAACGTTTGGAGTTTTCCAAAAGCACCTGCAACGCTCACTGGACTGCAGTTAAAGAAGGAAGGGCAAACAGGTGGAGTTTTCTGCTCTGGGGGGCTGCATCTCTTCTTCCTCCACAAAGCTGGCGTGCCCCCGCTTGGATGCCATGGGGTCACCTCCAAGACCCCCACAGCGGCTTTGGTGGAACATTATCTGCACAGGTGCCAACACGCAGCAGTGCCAAATCCGGCAGCAGCTGGGCAGAACGTGCCCCTCGGAGAGGTGGAGGTGGGACAGGAGCTCCCAACGCCAGGCCGGTGGTCGGCCTGATGCTGTGGCAGCAGGGACGAAATTTCGCGGTGCTTCATCCCTGCAGAATGAAGCAGGTTATGGCGAGAGGAGCTGCTCCGTTTCCACACCGCGGTGTCAAAAGTCGGACTGTGAGCCCCCTAGCAAAGTGACATTGTGACCAGCAGGGTCCTTTTAATGGGGAGGGCGATCGAAAGGGCACAGCAGCTCTGGACTTTGGGTTCGCTCGTTGCTTTCAGAACTAAACCAAAACCAGAAAACAGAGCGATGAGATGGTATTTCCGTTTTCTTTCAGGAATTGTGAGGGAGCCGTGACTATGGGGTGGCATAGAAATGAAATTAATACTTCTACTAGTTTATAATACACTTTAATCTGGTGGGCTACATATTCATTAGGAGCCCTATGTATCGTTATATATAGCAAATATATTACTGTTCTTAGTGATAGTTGTGCATAATTTCCATGTATTTATCCATATGTAAACCCTCCTAAAGACCATCCTTTCAGAATTCAAAAGCAGGAAGTTTGCCTAGTTTCTACAGGACGAATATATTTTGTAAATAATAATCGTATTGCTGTCAGTGAACCACGCTGTTTATTTTCCAATCAAATTTATTTCATGTTTTTAAAGCCCTGTATGGAAGGCCAGGGGTGGCAAATGTGGAATCTCCTCACATTCTGCTTTGTCCTCACAACAAGCCTGTGAGGTCGGTTTGAGAGCAGGTGACTGACCCAAGGACTCCTTGCCACGGTGAAGAATGAAAACAGCACGTTGCTAAGAGAAGAGCGAGCTCCAGCCAGGCTTCCAAATAGGCTGCATACCATTGCTCAATGGCTGAAATACCTTCCAGCCAGGTGATTTAGCGACTGAAGGTGTGCTCAGGTGAAGAATTGTCTTGAAGGGCTCCAGTGGGAAACAACAATAAAAATATAAATACATGTAATGGAAAAGGTCTTTCAGTGAACTTTATGGCTGTGGGTGGATTTGAACTCGGCTCTCCTCGCTGCTAAGCCGACACTCGACTCAAGGTGCCTTTGCTCCGAAGCGCTCGCCCTTTCCTAGCAGGAATGATCGCTGCTCGTATTCACGAGTCACCGTCTTGGAAGTCTGCTCTACTCTTTGGCCAAGTCCCGATTATCTCCGTGCCACTGCGATCTTGGTGGGCAGCGAAGCGACGCCGGACGCGGGGCTTGCACAGGTGAGGGCGGGCCCGCAAGCCAGGCGTCCTCGATTGGTTTTGGGATGGGGCCCCTTTGGGAGCTGGGCTGCGTTCACAGAAAGGTGCCTGGCGTGGCGGGGCCCCAAACACTCCTTTTGCAGAAGCCAAACTGCTAAGCCTAAAAAGAGCGTGAATCGACGGAGGACCCAAGTGTCAAGCAGAGGCAGGGACCTGAGCGAGACGCAAAGCTGCTCCTGAGCCCAAAGGCAGGGCTGGGAAGCCGCGTGTCCCCTTGCGGCAGGCCAGCCTCCCAGCCCCAAATGAAAACCGTGAAGACGTTGGGCACGAGGAGGGGCCAGACCAGCGGGTCCCGCATCAGGGTGCGACGCTGGTTCTCCCCACACTCCTGAGCGGAGCCCTGAAAGCGGCCCCGTCCCAACGCGATCGCTCCCGCCACCCACAATATGGCCAGAAGGCTGGGTCAGGCCCGGCCCGGCCCGGCCCGATCGTTTGGCGGAGGGAGGCAGGCACCGCAGGGCCAGGCGTGAGCCCTCTCAGCTCCCCTGCCATGGCCAGCGCCACGGAAATACTGGCTGGCTGCCCCGCGGCCTCTGCTGCACGGCAAGGGCGAGGGCGCCGCCTTGGTCTCCCTCGTCAGAGCTTCTCTGCCTTCAGCTCCTTGCAGGTGGTACAGTCCACGCAGAGGAAATGGGAAAGCGACAGACGGACCCCAAGAGGCCCTGATTAGCAGCAGCAGCAGCATCCTTGAAAGCGTTCGAGTGGGACATTTCGACACGCGAAGTGGAGGGTTGCCTTCCCGCAGCTCGCTGTGGGTGCAGGAGACCCGCTCGGGGCCCCTCCTGTGCAGCAGCTGTTCAAGAGTGGCCCTGCTCCGGCAGGCCCCCTTTCCTCAGTTGCCTGGGGGCTCGGGGCTCGACTTAAAGGGGGGCCAGGCTCTCTGGAGCCCAAAGGGCCGGGGGGACAAGAGTAAGGCCCCTTCACCCTCCGCAGACCCCCGGGGGTCCTGTGCAGGAGGCCTGGCCCCAGTTCTCGCCTGGCCCAGGAGCGACTGCGGGGGTGAATCTGCAGACCTCGGGGACGGCGGACCCCCGGCGGTGGGAGTGGGGGGGGCGAGGCTCTGCTTGTCCCTGGGCCCGGCGGGAAGGCACAGCCCTGGCAAACCCTTCTGCAGGTTGCCTCCGCCGTGCAGGGAGGCTGCGGGCTCATCGCTCTGGGGCAGGGGCCCCGGACACTGCAGCTCCTGCCCCTGGTCGAGGGAGCGCCTCGGCTCGAGTCGGTCGGCGGGGCCCCGTTCCGGCACGTGCTTGGAAAGTCTACGGATCTCTTGGATCTGCTGCTGGAACCGCAGTTTGGCTGTTTGTGGGGTGGGAGGCAAACAGGAACAGCACGTTAATATTTATTTAGGAAGTGCATATCCCGCTCCAGAAATTCCAGGAGTCTTTCAGCCAAGTAAATCACATTCCAAATCAAAAAGAAATGCAGTCTAAAGCTATGCAAGATGCCTGAACTTTCGGCAGAAAATCAGACTTGTGGGGATAAGACTGAGAGGAGGAGGAGAATGATGCAAGCCATGTTGAGTTCATTGTAAGAAAAAAGTGTAATATTTATCTAATAAATAAAGGAATAAATTCCCCGGAAAGCAGGGGCACTTGGAAAGAGTCTTGCAAGAGGTTCCCAGTGAAGTCTACAGCAGGAAGCCAAGACAAGCCGTCCACAGAAAGGAGGGTCTGAGAGGGTCTTAGCCCCAGGGGTGGAGGCTCCAAAAAGCTGAGTCCTCAGTAAGGGCTGGCAGGGGAGGCAAAGGAACTTTGGGGGGGCGGGCGCTGCACAGCCCAATAGGAAGAGCTCTGTGGAGCAGGCCAGGGGTCCGCCGAGGCGAGCACTCTCTTTCTCAACACGACCTTGGCGAGCCCTAAAGCAGGCTGAAAAAGCGCCCTCGCTGTTGCTGGCCATCTCCAAGGTCTGCAGGCTCTATTTGGCGACCACAGCGATTCTGCCTCATTCTCCCTTAGGGGAATTATTGTAATGGCTGCCCCCAGATGGCATAATGCGAATAGGGCGGCTTTTATACAGACTTAATCAATAATAATAATAAGCAAACCAAGTTATTTCTGAGGCATGGATTACAACCACATTGTGAAGTCATGAATTTCACAAATTAGCATATCCCATGGCATGATGCTGTGCTTGCTGATCGTTTGTCCTTTCTGCAGACCGTCACTGTTCCTTAGCAGGGGCAATTCAGCCTTTTAGGAAAGGGCGCAGAAGTGAAGAAACCAAACTGTGGCAGTTGGGAGAGGAGGCGAAGCCAAAGCGATGGGATGCATCCATCTGGGGGACACAGCAGAGACCCAAACTTGGCCTCCAGGGAGACCAGAGTCGTCCTGAAGTTCAACACCTGAGATCTGCAGGGGATGTTCTCCCACTGCAGCTAAGTGGGGCATGCCAGAAAGCTGAGAAATACAGTCCCACCTCCTGGTGTAATTATCCTCCATACCTTTCATCAAGCTTTCGTTCTTCTGCTTCAGGGCCTGGATCTCAGCGGCCATGGAGGAGATCTGGGAGGGAGAGGTGGAATAATAGCTCGAGAGACCCAGTGCGGAGGAGCGGCCTGAGCACTGGACTGGGACTCGGTTGGCCTGGGTTCTCGTCCGCACTTGCCCCTGAGGCAATAGCAGCCCCTACCCCTTCCGTTTTCTCTTTCAGCTGCTGCTGGAGACTCAGGGTTTCTCCACGGCTGGTAGAAACCTCCATAGATTCTGTCTGACCTCCTTCTTGAGGCCCGGTGGATTCCGCTGCTGTCTGCAGAAGACAGAAGAAAATCTGAAAAAGGCACCAGGGGGCTATTCAGCTTGGACTCCCAGGTGCTTCCAGGTGCAGAGCGCCTACCCAGCCCACCTGGTCTTCAGGAGGCCACCTGCAGCTCAGGAAAAGCAGGACTGGCGGGAAAAGCAAGGAGAAGGATGAGGGGGAGACATTGTCTCCCAGACCCTGATACTTTTCCTGCCCAGTGCAAAGAAGGTGTTCTGTGAGACCCTCCCCGGGAAGCCCCCTGAGCTCCTGCCCTTGAGGGATGCACCGATCACTTCCGAAGAGCCCCGCCGATCGTGCCCAGAGCATCTCGACTCCGCGGCCTCTTTCCCACGGTGGACAGGCCAATGCCCTGATGCAACAGCGGGGGCCCTTCCAAAGGTTTGGCCTTCCACAGCCCATCAGCTCCAACCAGCAAAGCCAACAGTGATGGATAATGGGCTCGGTAGGCCAGAACATCTGGAGGGCCCCAAGCCACACCCCCCAGTCCTAGTGGGAAGCCGCTATGCAAGATGCGGGCACAATTTAAG